CGGTTTGATTCCCGGCCCGAGCTGAGCTGCCGCTGAGCTGCCAACAGACAGCAGGATGGCTCAGCTAAAATAAATAAATAAATAAATTTTGATAAAATCTTATTTATCATTTCTTTATGTACCCTGCCTAAGAAATCTTCTGAATACATATTTTCTGTTAAGACATTTTATATGTTTTCTAGAAGCTTTATGGTTTTACCTTTTAACATTTAGTTCTATGATCAGCTTTAATTCTTTATAAGTTTGGAGGTAAGTGTCGTCTTTCTTTTTCTTGTTCAAAAATTTGGATATAAGGTTTTCCAGCACCACTTGTTGAAAAGACTTCTTTTCCCAATAAAGTTGTTTTGGAGCATTTGTTGAAAATAAATTGACCGTATAAGTGTGGATGTATTTTCCGTGGATCTTCTGTTCCATTGATACAGTCTTACACCAGGGTCACACTGTGTGGTTCCTGTGGCTGTGGCTGTATAATGAGTCTTGAAATGGGGTAGTGTAAGTCCTTGAACTTTTTTTTCTCTTTCTCAAGATGTTTTGGGTATTCTAGAGTTTTTGCACTTCCATATATGTTTTAGAATCAGCCTGTCAGTTAGTTTCTTTAAAGAGCATGCAGGGATTTCAAATGGGAGCCCCTTGAGTCTAATGATCAATTAGGGAGAATTAACATCTAAGCAGCACGGAGTCTTCCAGTCCATAAACTTGAGTATATCTTTCTAGTTCTTTTTAGGTCCTCTTTAATTTCTCTCAGTAATATTTTGTAGTTTTCAGCATAGTGGTCTTGTGTATCTCTTATTTATTTATTCCTAAATATTGAGTATTGATTGTTTTTCTGATACTATTGCAAATGGACTTGTTTTAAAATTCCATTTTAAAATTGTATGATGTGAGTATATCGGAATGTCATTAATTCTTATCTAATGACCTTGTATCCTGTGGCCTTGCTAAATTCACTTATGTTTTCTAGTAGTTACTTTGTAGATAGGATTTATTATATCGATAACCAGTTTGTCTGTGAACAGAATCAGTTTTAGTTCTTCCTTTCCATTTTGATTAACTTTTATTCCCTTTTCTTATCTTATTACACTGGCTAAAGCATCTTATATATTATTGAATAGAAGGAGTGAGAGTAGACTTTGTAGCCTTTTCTTATCTGAAATGCTTTGTACTTTGTTCATCGCACAGCTCAGAGGTTTTACTGACATTCTATATAAAATACAGCTTCCCCTTTTTTCATCTATTTTAACATCTTTTTAAATTTATTTATATCATTCACCATAAATTACACTTATTTTATTTGCTTATTTCTTTGTTGTCCCTTATACCAACCCATAAGCCTGTTATAGGGAAGCTCTGTCTTCATCATTACCTCCCCGATGCATAGCTCAGGCACTTAGTAGACACCCAGTAAATGCTTTGTTGAATCAGCCTGTCTGTATTGGTAGGAAATTTTAGCAGTTATGCAGTCTGCCTTCCCAGTGTTTGAGCCTCTCTGGCAAAACCTAGGACAAAGATTATTTCTTGCAAGGCTTTTTTCATATTTTTTTTTCACTTTTTAAATATTGGAGGTACAATTTCAAAATTTTTCATAGACACCACTTATATTTAACACCCTCTGGTTCTCATTGATATTTTATTTCAAAAGAATATAATTCTACTAATTTTTGCAAAATATTGTAGAAAATTAGGATAGTTTGCATTTCCTGGATGTTATATACACTGAAAAGTTAATCAGTATTCATGCAGTTTGCAGTGGTTCAGATATGGAAACAGGGTAAACACATCCTGTTAAATACAATTATCTAGTAAACAGGAGTTGGGTCACCATTTTTTATTCTTTAAAATCTGGAGAAATGGCACTGATAACATGAACCTGTTAGGCAAATTATTTCCTGATTTTTTTCCTTTAGTTTTTGTTCTAATCTGAGAAACACTTAATTTGCTTTTTAATGTAATTTAAGCCTGATGAGAGTAAATTACTTTCAGTCTGGAACACAATGATCTAGAATGAATCCAAAAGGCAAAAAGATCTTCTTGCTGCTCTATTTTAACAGCTGCTCTGATAGAAAGTACAGCTTCAGTCCATGTGGACGCATGAGGAAAATAATGATGTTTCCCCTGCAGGATGTCACAGTAGTTGTTCGGCTCATCCTACACATTGACCATGAAGATTGCATTAAAGAAGTTGGTAAAAACATGTAAAGTTGGCTCTTCACTCATTCAACGCCTTCTCTCCCTCGTCTCCTCATTCCCCCTCCCTCCCATTTTCCCGACATTTTTCTTTCCTTGCTTTCTCCCTTTCTCCTGAGAACCTTCCCCGTCCTTTCTTTTGTTCTTTCTTCTGACCTCCCTCTATGTCCCAGTCAATGTCCTTGTTCCTGCAAATGTGGTAGAGAATAAGACATTCTTTTTTTTTTTTAGCTGAGCCATCCTGCCACCTGTTGGCAGCTCAGCGGCTGCTCAGCTCGGGCTGACTCGAACCGCTGTTGCTCGGAGCTTGGTAGAGAATAAGACATAACGAGTATGTGACTTGTCCATATTCAGTTTACATTGTAGTGGGAAGGTAGATAGTGAAGAAGTAAACATATGCATATGGTAATTTTTGGTAGTCATAAGTTCTGTAAACAAAATTGTGCGTGTGTGTGTGTGTGTGTGTGTGAGCAAGAACGAGAGAGAGAGAGAGAGAGAGAGAGAGAGAAAGGTGTGAATGGATCAGAGAGAGAGAACGAAAATGAGCGAGAATCATAGAAGGCCTCTCTAAGGAAAAAGGGCATTTGAGCTGAGCTCTGAAGGCCCCAGGATCCAGGGAAAGAGTATTTTAGGAAGCAGGGATAGCAAGTCTGAAGCCCATAGGATAAATTGAGTTTGGTGTTGTAGAAACTAGAATATAAACACTTGGTCCAAGTGAAGTGAGCTTGGGAGAGAATGCTTTCAGATGAGGCCGGAGGAAAAAGCAGGGACCAGATTCCAGAGGCCGTGACAGGCCATGATGAACAGTTTCAGTTTGATTCCAAGTGCAGTCAAAAGCCAGTGATCCGTGTGTGGTACATCAGTTCATGTTGTTCTTTAGACACTTAAAAAACATCTTTAATATGATCAAAATACCCACGTTCAAATTCTCATCTTAATTTTCTCTTCCAAAAATAAAAAAGAAATACATGAAGCAAAAACTGAGATAATTGGTAAAAGATGAACAAATCTACAGTTGCAAATGGAGATTTCAACAGTCCTCTGTCGATAATGGAGGGAATGAGTAGACAGACATTCAGTAAGGATTTAGAGGATGGACTTGAACAACCCTCTCAACCAACTTGGCTTAATTGCCTTTTGTTTTGTTCAAAGAAACATTCTACTCTACCCTATACACTTTTTTCTTTTCCAAAGTGCCCATGAAGCATTTACCTAGATGACCAAATTTGGGGCCCAAACCAAGTTTCAATAAATTTAAAAGCATTGAAATCATACTGAATACGTTCTCTGACCACACCAGAATTAAACAAAAATCAGTATCAGAAAAATACCTGAAAAAAAAAATCCAAAATATCTGGAAATGAATCTACTTGTTTCCAAATGACTTATGGGTCAAAAAAGAAATGACAAAGGGAATTTGAAATTACTTTAAAATGACCGAGAACAAAAAGATGACCATTGCTTTTATTTAAAGTAAAATATTAATATGCAAATAGGTAGAGATTCGCATATTCAGCCCTTTGTACAAGCCTGTTTCTTTCATTTCCCACTTACTTCATATGTCAGCCTCCCTTCAGTTCCTTGATAATATGAGTGCGGCTGTGTTCCTGCTGTAGGTTTTTACCCCGCCCTAGTTGTTCTGGTCTTGTCTACTCAGCCATGTAGTCCTAATGCTTTTCTTTTAGTTCCAGTGAGTGGCCATTTGCCATTTTCAAAGGTCATGTTCCTGAAACTATGGAAGGGAATTTATGGAGCAGTAGCAGCCAAGTTCAAGTTACATGGTTCTCATGCTGACTTTAATTAAAACTTTGTCAGAGTTGCTTCCTTTGTCTCAGTCCTACCTGGGGCACTCTGGTCTGTCTTCTCCCTACATTTTAGACTTTTTGTAAGTCCTTCTTCAGCTCCTTTCTGGGCCTTCTGTTTCTTCTAGCAATCCGTTAATTATTTTGACTCTTTTATTGTTTTTTATTTTTTATAGTCTTCCAGTGTCTCTACTCTCAGTCTGATGCAGCTTGTCCTACTCAGTTCCTTCATTCATTTAGCTTTGACTATGTGTTGAGCATTAAGCTAGGTACAAGGCTTGAAAATGGGGTGGGAGACTTACAAAGCAGATCATTAACTGAAGTGTGCCAAGTATTTTGACAGAAGCATGTTGGAAGATTTATAGAAACAAACATTCAACAAATATTTATTGGCCTCCTACTGCGTACCAGGCACTGTACAATGGAGGTGGTATTCTAGGCATAAAGTACTGATTGTTTAAAGGTGAGGCATGGAGTTGTGAAGGAGCAAAGAATGGTTTGGGAATGGGTAATCTGCTCTGGCATGAGGTATTTGGTGTGGGGACTTGGAGGGAGTAAGTGGTGAGAAAAAAGGCTGGAAGGGTTATGAAAGTCTTTCTGTCTTTGTAGGGAGTTTAGTCCTGTTTCGGTGGGCATGGTATTCATCAGCTCCATGGTGACTCTTACCAACATTTCCACGCTACCTTTATAACTGATTTCTTTGCTTACCCTTCTGCTTGCTATAGTGACCAATGGCTCCAAGTGGTGGTGACCACTAGCACTGCTTATCATGCGTTTTAAAAAAGTGGGTTGCCAATAGAGGAGGAACCCCAAAGCAAGGGGCCAGGTATGTGATACTCCTAATTTACAAGGAGTATTTCCCTCTAGGGGTATAATTAGCCTCTTGACACCTTGATTTATTTTTAATATAAGGGAGGAAGAGGTTGAGGTATCAACATATTACTTTGAATATACCCTGTGGGGTAAAACTTCAATTTATTGCCCACCCTGAATTTTTTTATTCTTTTCCTTTAGGTTTCTTGCTATTTAAAGATTTTTGTTTGAATGAAATTAATGAAGCTGTACCTCAGGTGAAGTTTTATGAAGAGGTAAGAAGTAACTGTTTTACTGATGCTTTTATTTCAAAAGCATATTTAAACTGTGCTTTGGAAAATATTAAGACTACTAAGTATCTTACAAATATTTAGAAATTCATTGAAAGTAATTAGTAGGCCAAGATATAATACGTAGTTTATTAGAGATGCTGACAACATCTGTACAAATTATATTTTTGAAGGCTCTGGAATGCCCTGGAAGCAATGAGGAATAGTTGGACTAAAATTCCAGAGAATAGAGAATCACTCAGAGGTGCCCTGAAGATTACCATCCATTGTATTTTCTGCAGAAGCAGCTGGGGCATAGGGCTGCTACTGGGTGAAAGAGAAACAAGAGAGTTTTCAGGTCCCACATTGCTGGAGTGACAGATTGGAGACTTGGTGGGAGAATGTGCAGGGGAGCTAAAGAGCTGGGCCAAAAGCTTCTGGAAGACACACTGAAATCTCCCACCGCCTTATGGTGCTATATTGAAATGTAGACCTGCCGTGGGCAGGAATCTGAAAACAGAACAGGCAAGAGGTGAAAACCCATGGGGAGTGCTCTCTTAGCACCGAAGACCTGTAGCTACTTATCACCTGGGTCAGCTGTTGGTTCCAGGTGTAATGGGCATATTATAGTCCAGGTTTGGCCCTTGGCAGAAGGCTGCTTCTGGGAGACAAAAAGCCAGAATAGGTTTCTGGGGCTAGACTAAAAAGTAAACGGACTGGAGGAGCCCAAAAGGTGTTTAGTTTTTCTCTCAAGATATATGCCAAGTTTTGCAGCTGAGCGGGACAGGAGGCAAAAGAGCTATATTATATTTTGAAAACCTCTTAAGGGCAGAAGTGATTCCAGTGCTGAGGAGACAAAGACTTCTCATTGAACTCCATGGACACCCATGCCTTAGGAATGGGGCAAACTAGAGGCAGACTACAAAAATGTAGGACTAGAGTCCTACAAAAATGGCAATTCAGACTCAGCCCAGCTAAATCCTTTATTGGGTAATGACCCCCCCACCCACACCTGTGTGACAGAGTATAAGGGGAACCCTCTCTGTATTTTTTGCAGGTAGCAAATAACATATATAGAGAATCTACAGTGTTCCACATGCAGTAAACAACTATTAGATACCTAAGAGACAAGATCATATGACTTATAAACAAGGCAATAGAAGCAGACCCACAGATGAATCAGATATTGGAGTCATCTGACAAGTGCTTAATATAACTAAATAATATGTTTAAGATAATAGATACAGGAAAAGATGGACAACACTGATGGAAGGATATGGAATTTCAGGATAATTTGATTTTATTATGAAAAGCCAAGTGGACATTCTAGAACATAAGTACAGTATTTGAAATTAGAATTAATGGCTAGAACCAATAGCAGATTAGTTGCAATATAAGTCAGGATTAATAAATAGGCAGAGGCAGATCAGTGGGTAATCTCAAACTGAAACACAGAGAAAAAATAAAATATTGGGTTGTCAGAAAAGTCATGACGTATTTTTTCTGTGTTTTTCGTTGCAAAAATGTGTCATGACTTTTCCAACAACCCAATAAAAAAGAAATAGATGTGGACATTAAAGACATTGGAGACATGGTTAAAAGATATAACATATGTAGAGTTGGAGTCCTATCTGAGGAAAGAGAGAATGGTGCACAAGCAATATTTGAATAGATAAAACTAAAAATTTTAACAAAATAATGAAAGGTGGCAGCTTACCTTTCAAAAATTCAAAAATTTTAGAAAACCCTAAGCAAAGTGATACGAAGGAAACATACCTTTGCATATCAATATAAGACTGTGGACACCTATGACAAAGAAAAAATCTTAAAAGCAACAAGAGGGTAGAAAAAGACACATTACTTATTTTTTTTTTAAAGATTTTATTGGGGAACAATGTGTTTTTCCAGGACCCATCAGCTCCAAGTCAAGTAGTCATTTCAATCTAGTTGTGGAGGACACAGCTCAGTGGCCCATGAGGGGATCGAACCAGCAACCTTGGTGTTATGAGCACTGAACTCTAACCACTTGAGCTACCCGGCAACCCCAAGACACATTACTTTTAAAGGAGCAATATTATGACTGAACTGTGTGACATTTTAAAAGACATGATTAAAAAACAAAAAACGATGAAATGGCCAAATTTAAATTACTGAAAGAAAAAAATCTGCCAACCTAGAATCCTATTCCCAGCAAAAATTTTCCTCAAAAAATTAAGGTGAAATAAAATATTTTCAGACAGAAACTGAGGGGATTTGTCAGTAGTGGACGTACATTACTGAATACTAAAGGGAGCTACTTTAAGTAGAAGAAAATCACCCCAGATGGAAATGCAGGAAGGAGTGAGGACATCATAAAAGATAAATATGTAAAATATAAATAGATGTTGAACATGCAAAACAATAATATAATGTGTTTAGAGTTTAAAGTGTATGCAAAACATGACAGTACCTCAGAAAGCAGGAGAGGGGTTAAAAAGTTAAAGTGTTTTAAGATTCTAGAATTATTGGGAGGAATAGTAAAAGTAATTGTTTGCATAGGCTTGTAATCAGTCATGGAGCCACACTGTAATCTCTAAGATAACTTTTAAAAGAATAAAATGTGTATATTTAATAAATTAAAAGAGGGGGAAATGGAATAAAACAACTTTGTATCTAAGAAAAGGCAAAAAGGTAATAAAATAGTAGGTGGTCAGATTGAAAACAGAGGAAGATGGTAGCTATAAATCCATCTGCATAAATAATTACATTTAATATAAATGGACTAAATACTCCAAGTAAAAGACTTAAGTTTGTCAGACTCGATAAATAACCCAAATTCTATTATATACTGCTTACAAGTGGCATACTTAAATCAGGAGACTGGAAGAGGATATACAATATAAGCACTAACCAAAGCAAAGCTGGTATAGCAATAGTAATATCAGACAGAGTACACTAATTCTCAAATGCTACTTTGAGATTAAGAGAGATTATTTCATAATGATAAAAGGGTCGTTATCACGATCTGTATGTTACATATCACATAATTTCAACATGTATAAAGCAAAAATGGACAGATTTAAAACTGAATCTGCAATCCTAGTGGGAGACACACACTTCAAGGTTTATAGAACAAGCCGGCAAGACATTAGTAAGAATATAGATCTTAATAAAGTAATGTATAAACTTGACCTAATGGACAGACATGGAATGCTGCATCCGGCACAAATGTAATTTGTATTTTTTAAAGTGCATAAGGAATATTCATCAAAACAGATCATATGCTGGGCCCTAATGAAAGCTTCTATAGATTTCAAAATTGAAATTGTTCAGCATATGTCTCTGATCACAGTGGAATTAAGCTCAAATTTAATAACACAGTCAACTAAGAAATCCTTAACTGCCTGGAAACAAATACTCTTCTAAATAATTTATGGCTCAAAGAGGAAATTAAAACAAGAGTTAGGAAATATTTTTAAAAACTAAATATATTTAAGAAATGACATGTATGTAATATTATTGCATGATGTTATCTTTTACCCTAAAGCATAGCATAATTAGGGCAGATATTAGTAATCTTTGTACAAGTTGGAAAATTGGAGGGATATTCCTTTCTTGGTGGTTTATTGATACATGAAAATTTGAGATTTTTCTTAATTTTAAAAATTACATTAACGTATTTCCAGGAAGAATGGTCAAATTATGATGTACATTTAGCGTCAAGTAAAAAAAATGAGCTAAACCCAAAAGGATTTTGCTCAGTATGAAGTAACTTTATTATTTCAGTCTAAATCGTCAGGCGTTTTATCTGGGTAACACAGCTTGATCTGTCAATTTTTTTTTGCTTTCTTGTGTTGTTAAAAGCTTCACCTTTCCAGTTTCAGCATGTACTAAGTTGCTTTGTCAAATACAGAGAAATCTCCTTTAAAGATAACTGTTGCCAGGTTGAAACAGATGGCCAATCTACTCGGGGCTATTTCGTAAGCTCTCCTTGCCAATAAGGTGGTGACGACTGCTGATATGTTTCCATTTGACCTTTAAACATTGGAATTTCTCTTTGTTGGCTCGCTCCACAGCTCTCGTCGCCTCTCTGCTGGCTTGGCACATGATGGACCTGGCTTATCAGATTATATGCCAAAGCTCCTCAGCCATGTGCTCTGTATTCTTTTACTGAAGATGCCATCCAGCCATGCGGCTTCCAATACAGTTCTCTCAGTCAGTGCAGCCTTTAAGCATTGAAGTTATCAGTAATTCTTCTGACTCCTTGGTTTCATCAGTCTGGTTATTTCTGGTTGTTGCTTCATCACCCCAATCTCTAGAAAAGTCTTTGGTCAGGTGTCTTGCATATTTTGTACCTTGTATTTCTACTTTCCTATATCCTCACATTTTTAATAGTTACTGTTTCCTGTGCGTTCAAGTCCTAATAGCTTATCCTGACCTTCATATAGCTTTCTATCAGTTATTACCGACCTTTCCCTCTCTATCTTTCTCTTTTGGTTACTTTACTTATCAGGTCCTTTCACCAGCCTGGAATGCTTCTTCTGCTTCTCAGCTTGTGGAAAATCTACGTCTAGCTCAATTTCTGTCCTCTCTATCAAGCCCCCTGGACAGTGTTCATGTTTTTTACTCCTTTGATTCTCACACCATTTGTGGTCTGTAATGCTCATGTGATACTTAACATATGATTGCGGCTTGCGTGTATGTAGTCAGTATTTTCATCTCGACCATTATTTAACTCCTGGACAGCAGGCCTAGCTAGGATCTCAGTGCAGCTGTGCCTCTCACTTGCTGTGGGACATGGGGCTTGTCACCGAGCAAACTCTGAGGTGCCTACCTTGTGTCAGACCCGGAGCTTACAAATGCAGACAGTACATGGTCCCTGTGCTTGAGGAGCTCACAGCATGGGGACTTAATATTTGAGCTGCAGTTACCTCATCTGTGAAATGAGGTTAGCAATCATCTCCTGCTACTTGACAGGCTAATTTTGAGGCTCCAGTAGGATGCTGGATGGACCATTGCTTTCTAAA